ATTCCTCTGATTCATAGTTCATATGAAATTCCTAAGAGAAGGTGCACATTCTTGAAACAAAAAATAAAAGTTTCGGCAGAGAAGATACTGAGGAAATAAACCTCTAGGTATTGACTTTTGCTGGCATGTTTAGTTTTGGTAAATTATCCGAAAAACATTCAAAATTTCTCCAAGTACTGCGTACAAGTATAACATTAGGACAGATTGAAATCCAACTGCAGAATGAAATTAGGAGAAGCTCACTTTTCTCGCACACACATTCAGGTTTTTTGTATTTTAGTGGTTGAAATCAGAACCCAAGAACACAACATTCAGCACCAGACGCTCTCGTCACCTGCCCAGATGCTGGGCTAAACCATTATAGGACACAACTACCTTTATATATGAATAAGCATGGACACTCTTTTTACTTTTACATCTATGCAGTCGACAGAAAACTCCAACCTTCATTATTCAAAATCAATGAAAGACCCCACAGTGAAGATGCCTATACACTAGCGTAGCGACTCACTCGTATATAAGTTTCATGCAGATCTGTCGACCAAAATGGCTTACTCGATATCATTTACGTAGGGCGATTTTCTAAAAGACCGCTGAATACCGTTAATATCACTCTGTTCCTGTGACTGTATACTGTTGCGTATACTACAACATGATGATGTGAATTGAGAGGCAGCTGTAAATTGTGATCACACTGACATAAAATATCATTTTTGGTTATGTATGTAAACGCATGAAATTTCACCGATTTAAAAAAAATAATGCTACAAATCTATAAGAATCTAAAATCATCAACGGTATTCATCATTGAGTCCATGTTTGTCATTTCGTGTAAATTGTAAATAAATTGTATGATACATCTGTGAATCATGTGATATTGTGTGTGTTTTGATCATAATCTATTTTCAGATCTGTCTGTCTTAAAAAGAGTTATTCACACTCTCTGCTCGGTCAAAATATGTCGAGCAGAAACAGTGAATAACTTTTGACTCAAAACGCAACTATATATAGATTGGACAATAGAAGAATGTCTGTTACTGAACATTGCTGATCGTTCGTCCTCACAGTGAACTCACTTACCACTGACAATGTCTGCAGTAGTTGCAGACGAAACGTTTGGTACTTTAGGTTCCATTCGACCCCGACTGACTAGACCTACTGACCGATGGTAGGTCGAAATAGCGCTGTTCGGGTTGACCACAAATGCTTTATTTTTGGGATATATTTCGAACCTTTGAATACTATGAAAAAATACCAATCAGTATTTATGAAAAAATGGCTGTTTTCGTTCTGCAAATGAATTTGAATCGTTCTGAGAGATTTCAATTGTTATTCGAAAACTTCTCCAGAATAAAAGATGTCAGCAAAAGCCGTTACATAAGTTCATTTCTTCAGTATCTTGGAAAAGGAGAATTTGTCGGAAGTTCAATTTTTTTCTAAAATATCCAACTTCTTTAAGAAGCTTCAAATCACCTTTGACTTGATAGAAAATACATGCATTTACAGTTTGAGGTCAATTACAACGTATTTTTAATTATTGATTGACTTCCTTTTAATGACTTCGACAGCCAAAATGGGGACTGGATATAAAAGATGTGTTTTAAACTCCTGGAACCTATACGACGTGTGGAAACCTCACCAGAAAAATTAGATATTCATGATAACAACACATTGTATGTACTCAATGAAGTAATTGGAAAATGAGAATTGCTTCCATTTGTGTGATCATCAGGACCGTAATAAAACAATTTTCATATATTTGATTTTGAAATACCGAAACTCTCGGAATCAATACTACGGTATTATATGAGCATTACCATACTACAAATATACATCTACTGAATTTTTTAATATATTTCAATAGTAGTCGGAAATAGGCAATTTTGTCACAATTCGACTGACTCAGCATCTTTTACGGATTATGAGATCTTCTTGCATAGACACGAATTTAATGAAATTAAATCTCTTCTAATTGTTTAATTGAAAAAATTAACATTGAGAATCTCTGCAATATGCACAGTTACTTGCTACACCTACACTAAAAACCTCATATACTTTAAAATCATGTCACCCAGTAACTCTCTTTCTGGAGGTGGTTGACAATGTTTCATGGTGAATATCTTTAGTTTGGACGTCCATTGTCTGATATGACACGAAATCTGTGTAAAAGGAATAGCTGAAAAAAAATACAATAAAATGAAAATTAAGCAAAACATGAAAATTGAACAATTAAACAATTAAAGCCAAGTCACTTTACCACATTCGTCTTCTGGAGATGACTCCGAGAGATGACTATTTACGTACCATTCGATTGCTTTCGCCCATCCCCTCTTCCCTTTCTCCGCTTTACTGGTTCAACGAGAGATTGTCGTTAGGCGTGAGTTGACCGTTTTCCGCTTCATTATGGGTTTCCATGTGTTCCGTATCTCTACGCTGGCTTGGCTGAATGCGTCGTTGAACAACATGTATGCAGCTTCTTTGAATTTTTTCCTAAACCAGTGTTCCTCCCTGTGGATGATCTCAGCTTGGGACCATTTGATGTTATGTTTGTTTCTTGTGATCGACAATGAGGACTTTCAATGGCCTCTTATAATAGTTTCATCGATGTAGGATATCCGGTAAATTCAATTTTTGGAATCGCAGTCCCCGTTTGGTGGCCTTGTTTTCATGAGGGTGCTACGGATGGTGTTTCCGGATCTGAAGCAGGTTCTGATGTTGTACTTGGACCCAATTCTTCTTATCCTTCCCGACAATCCTCTGATGTAGGGACGTGCAAGCACTGGTTGTGAAGGCTTCTCTTCCTTGCTAAGCTCTTGCTGTCTTTTAGCCAAAGTCTACCATCACTTTAGAGTAACCATTTTGGTGAAGATCTTTTTAGATGATGCCTGGTTCCATCTCGAGATCTTTCTTCGTATTGCAGAGCCCGAAAGCACGGTCTACTAGAGTCTTGATGATTTCTTTTTTGGTGGATTGATGGTGGTTGGATTCATGATTCAGAAAATGTCCCGTGTGAGTGTGTTTTTGGTATTCAGATGTTTCCCACTTTATGTCGGTCTTCTTTACCAATACTTCTAAGAATGGCAATTAATTTTGGACTTTTTTCTCTATTGTGAAAATGATGGAAGGTCTTACGCTGTCGATGTGATTTAAAAAGGTGTCTAGTTCTATATTCCCATGGTTTCATATAATGAATGTGTCGTCAACGCATCTTAACCAGACTCGGTCGAGATACGAGATTCGTCGTTCAGTTGGAAATAGCAGTTTCATACACATCATCCTAGTAATTCCACAAATTTTTGCTCGATTTTTATTTCATTGTAATTTCTTTTTTAATTTTTTTTTCGCTCAATATAAATGATATTTTCAGCAATTCTTTTTAATTTTCATTTTCGTTTGTTATTTCAGAAATTTCAATTCAAATCATATTAGACAATGGATGTTCGAACTAATAAAATTCTTAGTTATTTATTGAAAGAAGAAAGTAATACAAATTATGGAATTATGAAACAACAAAAATTAATTGGCGCTCCGGGGCGTTTTCATTGATTACAGCGAAGCATTTGCTTTTTCAGCTGCAGGAAAACCCGAAAAAAGCTGCAGTACCCCACCATCTGAAGATCTTGATATGCTAATGCCCTCTCTAATATGCTCTCTAATATGCTAATAAAGTAGTGAGTGAAAATAATCAGAAAAAAATGTTTATACTCCATTATAATTATGTTATCTGTACGAAGAGAAACAACAAAACGGTGTTGTAATGTAATGGAGTATGTAAAAGTGATACACGATACAAATCATTGTACCATCATTGGTAGTAATTTATAAATTTTCCAAAGCATTGTCTTGGATATCGCAAAAAAATAATCAAATCATTAAGCAAATTACATAATAAAGAATGTGCAAAATGTGCGAAATGTGAATTATTGGTGAAAAAATGTGGCAGGATTGTCCGAGGCTTTAAATCTATTGATGATGTTACCAAGGATACTTATATTTGCTCACTACATTTCATTGGAGTAAGTGGTTCAACTGAACAAAACCCTAATCTTTTAAGCCATCAGGAATTTCAACATACGTACATTATTCCTCATTGAATTTTTGACTCTGTAAATTTCATATATATAATGTTGTATGAAATATTTCCTTCTAATAAAAATTTCTAAACATATTCAATTCAGTATTTACATATTTGTCTAATTAATAATGTCATATGTACAGCCTCAAAATATTAATGGCTTAATATATTTATTACTTCCAAAAATAATACTCTTGTCAATTGAAATATATTTTCAATTACATCAAATAAATTGACATTATTAATAAGAATAAAACTGTAGATACCATTTTTTTATATGTTTTTAGATAGTTAACGAATGCTGATACCTAACCTCTCAATCAGCTCACTTTTTTAATTGTTCACATTCATGAGCCTCAACTGAATCATAAACAAGTGAAGCACCATCAATGGTTTTTTCCAATAATTTATTCGTTTGTAGAGATGATATTTCTTGCCCAAACATTGTTGATTAAAACAGTACGAATGTTTTGAATTACCGCCATTTCAATATGGCGGCTACGCTTGCACTCGTCTTATGATGAAAAGGCCTATGCATAATAATCATCAGATTCAACGCCAGAACTACAGTGAACAATGACTGCTTGAAGATTATGATGGTGGTTGGCTAGATTAAAGTGTTCATTTATTTCGAACCTTCGTAAGAGTTTTGTGCTTCCGTCAGAGGTTGAGTCATGTTTGAAGATCATCAGTATTATAATCAGATTGATAGGTGCATCAGCTATACTGATTTTTTTATAATAGTCAGTTAGTTTGGCGCATATTTGGCAATACAATGGATTATCACCCGTTAAAAGTTCCATTTTCAGATGATTCAACAATGAAATTCTTATTCTGATGTTCCATGATTATCAAATAAAAATCATCATGATTTTATTGGAAAAGGATATTTAACGTACGACTTTTGCCAAACAAAAAAAATGTATACTCTTGATTTTGCTCCATTTTACTGTTTTATCTGATCAATTTATTGTTTCATACTAAATTTTACTGTAAGTATAAGATTCACTATAGAATTTTTATTGAAATGAAAAACACTCAATGAATTAGAATCCCTGAAGAGGCTTCATAGTGAGAAGCAAACGCTTGGCAAAGCAGAGCTTTCATTTTTGAGTTTTCTATTGAGAGACTTCGTTAATCCAATCTCCTGTATATTTCGTTAATATGATCCTTTATATATATTTATCGTTCATTCTCTAATAAAAACGGTTTGTTAATAATATCTGAGACTTGTTTTTCGTGATACATTTTCACTCCAACCGCTGGAGCTGCTGATGGTCCTCTTCCGCAATAAATCAACTGAAAAGCAAAATGTAACTTGAAGCAAAATATTAAGATAATCAAGAACTACTAGCATACCTTTTTTCCTACAAGATTTTCAAATCGTGGTCGCATGAAGCTCCAAGAGCCCATATTTTGTGGTTCCTCTTGGCACCATACTAAAACTGAAAACAAATTATTTATCATGAGCAAACCTTCAAGTGGAGTTATTATCATTTCAAAAAGTGGAGTAGCTTTTCTGCGATTTCAAAACAGTGTCTGCCGGTGAAAATTTCCGTTTGAAAACTGAATAAATCATGAACCTCAATAGAATTTACAAATGATTGGAGAGTCTCACGAAGGATTCAACATTTTATTATTGATCTCAATGATACTTGAATACTACTCAACAAATAGACAATCCAGTGACTCATTTGCAGCTGACACCTTATGAATATCAAATAATAACATAAAATAATAACATAACATAAAGAAGATGCAATGAAGTTGTCTTAAACGTGAGTAAAAAAGATGATAAATGTATCTAAATGTTAATTGAAAAAAATTGTTTTTTCGTTAACCAGCTGGCGTACCCCTACAAACAACAACTGTCAAAAGTCGAAACTTGTGCGAGCTAAGGACTAATGAGGTCTCACGTTTTAACGTGTGATTCCTAACACGGGTTGGACGATACTGTCCAAAGTCGAAACTTGTGCGAGTTAATGACTAACGAGGTCTCACCTTCCAACGTGCGATTCCTAACACGGGTTGTACGAAGTGAAAATCAATCGTTCGGCCTTGCAGTTCGAACCACCGGTTCACACATCGGTCGATTGAGTGAGTGGAGCAAACCACCCACGTCAACCCAATCTGTTACCGTCCCATTGCACAAAAATGACTATGACAGGATATGGACATTTCGAAATTGTTACTGAGGTGAATTATCTAAATTTCATGATTAAATTCATAATAAATAATTACCTTTTGCATTTGGAAATTTCGATATTTCGTGCCTCAATTCCAATGTTGGAAATGGACAAAATGATTCCACTCTGATGATGGCTGTATCTTTGACTCCCATGGATTCTCTCTTTTCTGTGAGGGAGTAGTAGTGTTTTCCGGAAGTTAACAGTACTTTTTTCACCCTGGATGGAACAACCAATGTATCACCTAGAAAAGAATCATCCAAAGGAATATCAAATAATACTTTTCAGCAATATTTGCAGATAATACGGAATGAAATGAATGTTTTGATGTTCAGTTTCTTATGATGTACATCATAGGCTAAGGTGGAATAAAATACATCAATGATACGAACGAACTATGCAAAAACAAAGTATACTGAAGTACTTCTATTGAAGAATTGTTTACAAGACAATTCATGATAGCAAATATTTGAAGGGTGAAGTGAAAGCACTAGGATATAGTACAGAAATTATAAAAAAGCAATGTTTTCCACAACATACATTTGAAAGTATATCCAATACATCAGCCACAACACAATATATCTGCGAATAAAAACCGACAGTCACTACTAAATAAACCAGATGAAAATAAAATCAAAGAAACCTAATTAAAATAAAGGTGGGCACACACGCCGAAATATAAAGCAAACTATCATGAGTTCGGATGGATCAGAAATCACTATAAAATAATAAAAACAGAAATGAAGAATTATAACATTGTATTAAAGCTAGCGAAACATTGGGCTATTCAAAATTGAATCTCCCAACAGCAAAAGTAAGACAATGGGGAAAAAGTGTTGGACTTAAAAACAAAGTAGAAGTACTGGAAAGACAATACAAAAGAAATAATTCAATAATTTTTGGCCTCGACAAGAATCCCGAAGAAGTGTATGCGACATTTATGTGTAACAAAATCAATGAACTATTGAATATAGAGCTCACAGAATCAGACGTTGATAATATTTATACATTGGGAAACACTGATAATAGCCCAATAAAACCAGAAATGATATACAATTCGAAGAAACGTGGAAAATTTTGAAATTGTAATAATTTAAAGGGTTAACCGAATGAACCGAAACTCAAAGGATGAATACAAAATTTCAATATCTATCAGTCCTGGTTTAATGAAATCGGAGTCCGGTAATTACGCTTAGTTGATCATAGTCCAACGTTCGACTGATTTATAACATTAAAGTATTTCTGAACATACTTTCTAAAGTACCAATGCGTCTCAAATCAAAGTTAAAGATAGTTCATTTACAGGGTGAATTGAGATGAAAGTATTAATTAATGCATGGGAGAAGGATTGACCAATACTGCAAACTCTATTGATTAGAAATGTTGATGAGATGTTGACACCATCTTGTTATGATTATCTATAATTAGGATTTTGAAAATGATATTAAATGAAGAGTAATCAGATTTCGCTGGTTTCAGATTGACAGCTTTAAATGTGACATACTGTTTCTCAAGAAAATTTTTCAGTTGATGCATTTTGCAGCTCAATTCGTTTGAGATCTAATTCCTGTTCAGGTAATTGAAATTTTACAAAGCCCTATATATTTATGCGTGATTTTGAATTTTCTGAAGCAGCTAGTTTTCCAAAAATGTATTCATTAAGTTCTCACAGACATTACAGTAAGTCAGAAGTCAACTTCTGAGCTAATACTATTCGATTCCAGTAGGTATATGAAAATAATCTTGTATTTTGGAAAAAATCAATCAACGTTTTGAGAGCAATTTAGTAACTATCATCTGTTATGGGCAAAAATTTGATAATACGTCCCTATAGAATCAATAATCCAGGCGTCAGAAAAAGTGAGAGCGACGGCATAAGCTGCAGGAGAATTGACTATATGCTCAGAGGAAGATTGGCATACACGACCGTTGTGGGAGAAACAGTAGTGGCACGGGTTGCAAGTCCTCGGAGCGGGGAAATTTTCCCAACTGTTATGGAACGTTGTGATGGACTAGTAACTACGTCTCCTTGACAATAATGAATACAGAGATCTGGACTATGCAGATGATTCAATCATTCTAGTCAATGGCCAATACAAAAGCATTCACCAACAGGATCAAGACTAAGGGCCTAGGACCTCTCAAACTACGAGGTGAAGAGATACAGCTATCGAATAAGTTCAAATGCCTGAGAATTATACTAGACATCAAGTTGACCTGAAACAAAATCTAGAAAGAGTGAAAATGAAAGCGGAGGGAGCACTGATGCTGGCCAGATGCATCTTCGGAAAGACAAAGGGGCTGGAATCAAACATGATGTATTGGCTATACGCCATGATGGTTAAACTGTTGATTACATATGCATAAACTGTCTAGTGATCAAAACATGAAATAAACGCCCACTAGTAACAAATTAGGCAGGGTGCAAAAATCTGCGTATTTGAGGATAACGGATCCAGAGTAAACCACCCCAAGAGCTACATTTGAGACACTCTCGAATCTTCCTCCTTCACATCTTGTAATAATTGGGAAAGTAAGAGTGGTCCAATTCAGATGGAAAACCCACCCACCCACACTGAACAGAAATATCGGATCATGTGAAGGAACGACCGTCTACACGTTCTTCGACCACATGACACCGAACTACATGTTCGACACAAACCAAACGGTTAAAGTTCTAGATCGCGAAGAGTGGATAATGACCTGACGTTCCGAGAACATGATCGGCAGAAACATTTGATACACAGATGGGTCGAAAACTGAACATGGGACGGGAGCAGAAATATATTATGCGGAGAGAAATCTTAATTTCAGCTTGGTAACTGAAGTATATGCAATCTTGCCCTATGCAAGAAACCTTAATTCGAGGCTTCAAAAAAATACCCAAATATTGTCATAGGTAGCCAGGCTGTACTTAGGACACTAACAAACCCAAAGGTGACATCGAAACTGGTCTGGAAATGTCGTGAGGAACTGAGGAATCTGGCTGACGTAAATAGATTGCCAGAATACCCAGGTATCATGAAGAACAAAAAAGCGGACGAGTGTGGCAGACACGGATCCTCAACTCCATATTTAGGCTCTGAACTAGCTGTGTAGATACGAAAATCTTTTGTACGGAGCCAGATTGAGAAAAGGATCCATAAATACCTAAAGAGTACCTCAAAAACACCCGGGAACACACACGGGAAATAAAAGAACCGGAAAACTACTTCAACAAAGCAGAAATCGATTCACAATAATTACAGGGCTACTCATAGGCTGCTCTGTTAATTTGAAGCTCTGAACAAATCAGGCTGCATACGGATATTTTAGCTCTTCATATTTTAAGCGAATGTGATCACAAGAGACAAACAATTCATGGCAACCCAAATTATGTCCGGAATGATATGATTTACGTCCAGCGAGAGTCCTGTACAGATTTTTGTTACAGATGGGAGTTATAAAAAAAATGTGGTGTGTAAAGAGTGATAAGCCCTTAGGGCTACAGTTGTTTTTCGGAGACTTGGAAGATATGGACAAGTCAAACGGCTTCCAGGAAGAGGAAAAATGTGTTTTATCTCGTCAGGTGTTGACGAAACATGTGTAATCATTTATTGCCCCATAACGATTTATCATATTCAATTACATAAGGCTTGATTATAATCAGCTACTTCACTATATTTTTGACTTTTACTACCATAGCATTTCTGAAGTTACCACCAAAGTCACTTGAGAATCGCTTATCAACTAAAATGTGAACATATCATTTTCTGAACCGTTGTTATTATACATTTCTTTCAACTTGAGTCCAATTCAAGAATGAAAATGTAATTACCTATAACAGGTTTGAAGTATGTCCCAGGGACCATGTCTGAGAAGTCTGATGTACAGGAGGAATGCCGTAATAACGTCTTTGGTGTTATCACAATCAATGGTTTCCTGTAATTGCGAATCATCTGAAAATAAAAAAAAAAACAGATTGGAATGTGCCAGAAGGTAGTTCACTGAGACTCGAATACACTAACCTGGCGTCTCAATAAATGAAAATACTGAGCTGGTGTGCTAGGTTGGCAAATTTGCATGTTAATATTGTCTCCATCAGGTTCATCCTCTTTCGAGTTCGTCATCTGCAAAAATCTTTCTATCCTAGAGGAACTGTGTTCTGGACCAGCTCCATCATACCCATGTGGCAGAAGTATGGTAATGCCACTCTGCCAGATCCATTTAGCTGAATAGAAAATTTACATACAATTTTATATGGAATGAAACAAGCGGAACGTGAGTCTTCGTTAACCGTCAGGTACATTAGGGTTAGGTTAGGTCCAAATGGAGTGGGTCTATTCGACCCTCCACTGCAGCCCACAACGGTTTATTGTGTCAGGTACATTAGTGAGATAGTATAATTCAATAAAATCTCACAATTTGTTTTATGATATTAATGAAGATACCTTTCCATCCCATCAGTACAAATGATTTCAGTAAATTGCATTTATCCGAAGAAATATTGGATGTTCTTGAATAGGAATTACGGAAAAACATTACTATCAGGATAATAATGAGTGAACAGTCAAAAATCAAATAGTCTAGATTGAATCGGAAAGTCAACAACATAACTCGGGATATAAATATATCAATAAAGAACCATATAGCCCTATATTTTTTCAGTATTATAATTATATCATAATCAACAGCTTTTTTGTTTGTTCGGTGCTACGACTTAATTCTGTATATTTTTTTCATAAGGACAAACCACAAGCACTACAGGAAAATCCTTCATCCTTCAGGCGCTCTTAGAGTGGTGCCGGTGCGAAAGTAGTGATTCCCATTGGGTTTGAATCGCTGGAGATTAAATCCATTTGGAAAAAATTCTCAGGAAGTTAAATCAACATAAACGCCGTTCTCATAATGAAAGAGTTTTTAAACAGATTGAAGTTCGAGTTGTACTGAGTTGAACCTCAAAACTATGAGCAGCCACAGTCCGTCGCGTATTTCTGATAATAATAATAATAATAATTTTTATTTGCATTCAGTTCAATTACATGGTTCAATATAAACTTAAAAAATATTTCAGAAAGGAAGTGGAATCAAATGTGCCTTCACTTCTCGTGAAAGTATCTATAGAAGAGAGAAACATCTCCAAAGTTTCTTCGATGTTCCAGACTATCAAGGTTGCAGGTGATGTTCGCGTCTCAAATCAGGCGGATGGCTCTTTTCTGGATAGAATCCAGCAGTTTCTGGGTATGTTCGGGGGCGGAGCTCCATTCATGAGAACAATACTCCAAAGTCTGATCTGAGCTTTATAAAACATCGAAAGTTGCTAAGGTGTGTACAGTTTTCTGGTTCGGAACAGTGTGCCAAGACATGTGTGTGTCCATTTCAACCGCCAACAAACTTATCGTAGCAGAAAGCGGACTTGTCTGACTTGACATTATTATATCCGATTCGGAAACATCTTTTTGGAGACAACCGATGCCTGGGTTTTTGTGGATTGGATTGAGCCTGGTAACTTTCACCCCAATTCGAAATTACTTCTAGATCCTCATTAAGATATTCAACCTCCAGCTGCCGGTGAAGATGTGCATCCGCAGCCGATGTCCTGGAATCCAAATATAATGACGAGACAAGTGTGCTGTCGTCAGCAAAGTAATATATTTTTGCTTTCTTCCAATAAGGCGTTGATATACAATCAAAAGAAGGTTAGACAACATGGATTCATGGGGAACACCAGCGTTGATGGTGAAAGTATTCGAGAGATATCGATCGACGGCCACTTGCAGGGAACGTTCTATCAGGAATCTGAAGAGCCAAACACAAAATGATCCGACAAGGCATAGCATCGAAGTTTAGCCAGCAAGTCATTATGCCACACACAGTAAAAGGCCTTAGAAATATCAAGCGCAACAGTTCTTGACTCTCTATGCTTCGCGATTGCGTTATTCCAAATATGGGTGACATATGATAGAAGGTCGCCCGTTGATCTTTGTTACCGAAAGCCATATTGATGATCACTCAAGATGTTGAAGTATTCCAAATATTTGAGGATTTGGTGGTTTACGGCATTCTCCATGACTTTTGATATCACTGATAGCAAAGTGACTGGTATATGGTTATTTGGAAGAGTTTTCTTGCCCTTTTCAGAAATAGGCTGAACGCGAGCAATTTCAGTTCATTTGTGCACTTTTCAAGTACGAGGTCAGGTACTTCATCAGGACCAGACTCCTTGTTGATATTGAGCTGTTTCAAAATTCGCCTGACTGTCGGAGATTAATTTCCAGCATTGTGGATTCTAGTGTGGGAATAGTGGGAGGTGCCTTTCCCAGAAAATCGACTGTGTAGTGGGACGAAAATTGTTCAGCTAGTACATTTGCTTTTTCTATGGCTGTTGTTGCAATTGAACTATCCGCTTGTGTTATTGGTGGAATTGTGGATTTTGTAAAGTTCTGATTAACAGCTTTAGCTACTGATCAGAAGAATCTAGACTCGTTTCTGATTGTGAAGTTCTTTGCTTTCATTTATCCTTAGAGGTGCAGCTGTTGCGAGCAATAACAAACCTAGTTCGGTTTTCGGCACTTCTACGGACAGAGATAACTGTGTCAAAGCTAGTGTCCAGGTTTCTGACCGACATTTCATCTACTACTGCGGTAGACATCATTAAAGGCGATGAGGTAACGGTCAAAGTGCTCGAATTGTTCTCTTCGTAGATACAATATTGGAATTTTTCTCCGGTTTTATATCATCATTGGTGGGCGTTGCTGCGTTTCTCTTGATCGGATTCAATGACCTTGTTGCCATATCACGAACGTATCATGAACATTGGTACAACTGGTGAATCATTTTTCAAAAATATCCATATAGAAATTTAAGGTAAACCTTTGATGTTACCAACCTGAAATTACGTTTATATTCTTTTTTAAATTTTCTTGAATTTTGTCAGATTTAATTAAAAATATATGATTATTGTAATATTAGCAAATAATTTATCTGATTCCTTCAAAGTCAAATTTTGCTATTTAGTTAAGGCATAACAAAAAAACAAGACGAAATCTTTGTGGTACCCCAAAATTTATTTTTCTGAAGGAACTCATTTGATTTTTTATGCAAACATAATTTTCTCACCACATAATGATATTCTCTCTCATTCCATAATTGTTTAGTTTTGAGATCAATATCGCTGATATCAAATGCTTTACATGAATTTGAAGACATCCATTGCTGCTGCCTCTGCAATTCTATATTTGCGAACACATATTGCCTAGTATTTAAAAGATCATTGTTTTTCGATTATCAGTAAATATTCTATGCAACAATTGTGGTAATACCGAAATAGGCTGCTAGTTGTGACGAGTGAAAATTTTCACTAAATATATAGATTTAGAAATCAAATATCTGTATATTAAACGGAGTATGCTTGAGTTAAAGACATGAAGTTCATAAAAAAACTATCATATAAGATCGAAGAGACAGAACAATTGATTAATATTCGATACGAAATACTTAAAAAACTTTAATTTGAAGAAGCGAACAAACATTCGATGAAAGTTATCAACATTGTTGAACATTTTCGACACACTCCTTCGATAAGGAAAATTTGAAATTTGGTTTGAATCCCCCGAGCGAAGTCACAGAAGATGTAATCAGTGTTGAACGTGAAATTCAGTACCTACTCACCTGAGACACCAAAATAGTTAGTTCAAAAGGCTTGCAAGAGAAAAATTCCTAATGATTTGCCAAGGAAGATTAATGATAATACACAAAAAAAATATACAAAAATCATTATAAGATGATCCATTGATCATCAGAATCATCAAAGGAAAAATGTTTTGTATCTGATTACTACGAGAAAATTGACGATTTGATTGAAAACGGTTCCTATAATAAATTACTAAAGAACTCACTGCTTAAGATGGTGAAATTCACTCTCAAAAAGTATTAAAATTTGTTCGTACCTGCTTCGAACAGAGGTCTACAAGTTTCTAATCTCACAGTTCCTAAAATATACAGTCTGCCAAAAATTCACAAGCCTGGCAAGTCGGTGCGACCAGTTGTCTCCACTATAAGTTCCCTTACTTGAGAAAGTACTAAATGGCTAACCAAATAGTTTTAAACTTTCCCAATCTCACAATTGAGAGTGTTGTTGATTCACATATGGAGAAGGTTTCGTATGTAAAGGTGCGAGATGGAGTATCATTTGATGTATCCTCGTTGTTTTCAAGTGTCTCTAAACCAAGTAAGTAATCAAAGAATACATATAATCAACAAAAATCTGCATGGAATTGAAATGTATTCAGTACAACAACTCTTTCTACATGCAGCAGGAAGGCACGGCAATGGAAAACCCTCTTCCCCCTTCTGAAGAGAAAGAATATTTGAATTGAAAGCAAGAGAGGAGTTAGATTACTTTCTATGAACCTGTATCCAATATGTAGATGATGATGCATTTGCGATTTTTGACACAATGGAATCAAAGGCAGAGGATGACATTGTTTTAACTCTCAACAACAGATCCCTGAATATTAGGTTAAAATATAAAATTGAAAATATTGAGAAGTTACCATTCTTGGATATCTCAGTAATAAGAATTCTAAACAGCGTATTGCTAACCTATTTATGAATCACTTTGTTAAAATAAGCGGGAACTTTCATGTGATTACTACCTGAAATCATTGATGTGTGTCGGGAATGAAAGGTGTACTCTGATAGATATAAATAGAGACCAATTTGGACTTGAGGAATTAGTTTTCTTCATTTGATTTAGCAAGAGCGGTACATGTCAGAAATACGCGACGGACTGTGGCTACTCATCGTTTTGAGGTTCAACTCAGTACACCTCGAACTTCACTGTTTAAGAACTCTTTCATCTGGAGAACTGCGTTTATGTGGAATGAACTTGCTGAAAAGGTTTCTACAAATCGATTTAATCTCCAACGATTCAAATCCAATGTGAATTGGATATATATACATATGGCCTTTGGGGAAAGTGCTTTTTTTGGGTTTAATATCAGTATACTAACTTTGATTTTTGATAATTTGTTCAATTTCTACTATTTAAAAATACGTATTTTTAGTAGCTCACAAGAGATGCTTCATATAAGACGCAATTTGTGTAACTTAATATTTGAAGCACAAAAATGATGTACATAGATCATCTTAAAATAAACATATCACAGATAACAAACATAATCATAAAATATATGAGCAGTTTTATAAAAAATAGAAATAATTGAAATATGCATATCCATATCACATATCTCATATGCATTTAATATATGATATATTTATAACGTTTACTAGTCATTTCAATCATGGATAAAAATTATATGTAACTTTACAAAAGCGATTGTCATTCAGGATCAAAATAATTGATCTTCGTTCATTCCTGAAATTACGTCTCCAAAATAGACTTGAAATAACATTAATATGAAAAAAACTTTCGTCCCCATAATTTCAGTTTATTATAAAACAATTCGTTTGATAATAATCTGTGTCTTTGATGTGGAACCAGCGTTGATTCAAGAAAATGCGTGTATTTTCATTAGCTTGAAGAAAATGATTTGATATGAGACATATTTATGAAGTTCAATGTTTCACCAAATATTTAAATCAATGAAAAAATACATGAATAATATCGAATAACGAACGACATGAAGATACCAACAATGTGAACTCAATTTATAAATCATTTCTATGATCACCTCATTACAAACCTGATTTTTTAAAACTATTTTGATTCATTTACAGATGTTTCATGAAAATCATCATCAATGTTTGCCAGGGGATTATAATTTACATACTATAACTAATATCCAATCGTACCTGTTCCAGAAGACTAAACTACTTGAAACAACTATCTCATGCTCACCTTCACCAGAGCTGATGAACGTATCGAATATGATCTGTGCCCCGTTGAAGAAATCGCCAAACTGGGCTTCCCAAATGACCAAATTCCTGGGATCTTCTATGCTCACCCCATATTCGAATCCCAGCACGGCCTCTTCCGACAGAATACTATTTGCCACCTCCAGGAAGCCGGTTTGATGTGGGTGCAAATTGTTCAAAGGGATGTAAGTGTTGTTGGTTTTTTGGTCGACTAACATTACGTGCCTTTGAGAGAACGTACCCCTTCCAACATCTTGGCCACTAATTCTTACGTTGTAACCTCGTGGAAAACAAAAAATAAAAACGGAATAGAACAGACGGACGACAGGGAAATTTTGTTCGATAATATATAATGAAGCTGCACATGTTCATGATTGAAAAAATACAGAAAAGTGACAATAGTAAGGTATTAATCCAAGCTGAGGTTAAAATAAAGTTATTCGAAATAACTGAAATGTAATTAAGGTCGACTATATTTTTCAATTTCTCAAAATAGACGATCCTGTTCGTTAGTCTTCAAATAAGATTGTTGTAGAACGAATTTTGTTATATTAACCAGGGTATCTATGTGGTCGACTATATTTTTCAATTTCTCAAAATAGACGATCCTGTTCGTTAATCTTCAAATAAGATTGTTGTAGAACGAATTTTGTTATATTAACCAGGGTATCTATGTGTGATCTAACCCTCTTGGTCTTTATGAGCCAGACGTGTGTGGCCATCATATGTAGGATCTGTGTGATCCATTCCCTTTGTTCTATATGACCCAGATATGTGCATTTTTTCCAAATACTATTGACCCTAAATTGCTCATAATTGTGTGTCAATTAGAGTTAACGAATATTTTATAATAAACGTGGTAATAGCAACTGAATAGTTTCATTTCCCTTTCTTCTCCCATGAAAATGAAAATCTCTCACACTCGTTCCATCAGTCCTGGAAGAACAGTCACCAAATGAAGTAATTTGGAATATAGATTTATTTGGTCTGGTTTTGAATAGGCGTGAGTCACAATAACCCACTCGCCTTTGAAATTGCAATTTTATTGTCGTTTTGTTGCCGTTTGAAAATTGAAAATCGGAAATAATTCATCATTACATAATTGTAAGTTATCTTACCTTCAAACAAAAGGGATCCAATGGCCAAACCTTCTGCTGTTGACCAGTCGATGCCAATTCCTTCTGAGATTTTGCTGATGCGATTTTTGACGTGAGCTCTCAATAATGTAGGGTGAATTTCCTAGAAAGTGGTCATTATGTATGGGTAAATTAGTGCATTTCAAAAACTTACGAAATTTGGAGGGTATTTCACAGATTTTATCCCAAGGAATGTCATGAGGTCCAAATTTAGGCCAGTGTCCCAAGTGTTGATAGTGTCTGTTGGCTGAGAATATCCTTCCCACTGTCTTTTGAAGAAAATATCCTATGTGCATACAAATGAATTAAAACAAAGAAAAAGTGACAAGAATAAACAAAATACAAATTAATATCAGTTTTTTCAATACTACTTCACCATAATTGATAGTTGTAGTAAAAAAAAAGATATTTGAAGTTCACTGGAAACTATCCCGCTAAGTTACTCAATTCGTCTCTTACATTTTTTGTGAGTCACATGAATAAATAAAGGTATTTCCCTCCATCTGACTGTTGAATTGCGTTTATCTATTGAAGATTGAAACAGTGGATTCAGTGGCATACTGTACTGTAATACTTTTTTTGAGCATCGCATGAAACGTTGAAAGCCATGGAGCATTTAGTGAAAGTAGGGCACTAGATACTTTCTCACGAAGTCTTCTTTTTTTATCCTTTTTAATATCAGACCATATTTAACTAGAACCCTGTATCTAAGTTACCTGTGGAGTATGATGATCTGCTGCTTTCAAGTGCTCACTCAACCAACTTTGATGGTGACTGACAATTTTCTCTGCATCACCCTCCTTGAACACACCTTCTCGAAGAAGTTTTTCTACGTACAAATCCGGTACCGTTCTGAAACATAATGTCAAATTAATTTCCTTTCCGTCATACTTCTGAATATGTTTACCGCTTTGATCGTATAATACTGTATAGAGAAGGGTTGGTGAAAGTGGGATCATCCAATTCGTTGTGCCCCCATCTTCGGTAACAGTTCAAATCTATGAATATTTCTTTTCGGAACTTCCGTTGGTAAGCGAAGGCTAACTTGGCAACTTTAAGAACATCCTGAAACACGAAATATTTTCATAAGATGTAACTTTCCGTCTTTTTCAGCAAGTACGAAATACACTTTGGAGAAGTTTTGCCCCATGCCTCACCCTGTATGCGTGTACTCACTTCTGGATAATCTCCGTTTACGTGAATCACAGGTGCCGATATTACTTTCGCCAAATCGGTGGCGTATCTTGAAGATCTTCCCCTTTCTGCTGGGGTTGTGAACCCCACCTGGTTATTAACAACGAGATGAACCGACCCTCCGATTTCAAAATGCGGTATTCCGCTTAAACTTAAACATTCTTGGTTGATGCCTTGTCCTATTATGGCAGCGTCACCATGAACCTAAAACATCATTGACGATCACTCTTCTACGGGATAATTGTCAAACTAATGCTAATGCTAATCGACAAACTAACATTACCATCCAAGCTCAAAATATTCTATACTCAACTCAACTTTTCTCATTCATGAGGTGAATGTACATTTGTATTATATATCTATATCAACAGCATAAAGAATAAAAGAAATTGAAATTTGTAAAAAATATCCTTGAAAAATCAGATTCAGCAAGTTAACCAAGTTTTAGGATTGTGAAAAATTTACTTAATGATGAAATAGTGACTGAGAAGAGTTTCTGAAATTCAGTGGTTCAAATAATGAAAATAAATCTTACCTGTATATTAAGTATTTTATCTGACCAACGGTTATCACTCCCGTAATCACCATCTTTCAACATCATTTGTTTTGCTCGAGTCTTACCCATAGAAACAGGGTTAATAGCTTCCAAGTGTGATGGATTAAAAGGAACAGTTACGTGAACAAGTTTTTCTCCATAAACCAATTCGGTTGAAGAAACTGAAAATGAGTCACAGTTGATTATAAATATTGAAGAGTATCGAATTCAATAAAAGTTTCCAGGGCCGTAGTGAATAGAAAAACCAGTGGGGGGAAGAAATCCAAATTTTCCCAACCTCACCAGCAAAATTTCCCAACTTTCGAAAAAATGGAAGCCAAGGGATTGATTACTACTATAATATATTAATTTTCTTACTTAGCTATCCAAAGATTGGCTGAATGCTTATATGCCCGTTAGGGTATGCACAAACAAAAATAAATTTTGGTAATAATGAAAATAATAATGGGAATTATTCTACCTTGGACCAAGGTCCTTGTCTTTCCACCATATTCACCATGTGCAGGAATATTCAATGCACATGAAAGGAAACAACACTTAAATAATATTGTGCTTATTGTTTTCTATTATTATTTTTTCTATCTTCACGGCCCGAAATTTCTCAACTTTTCCAAGTCGGAAAAACAGCGAAATGTTGGGAATTTTGTAAAATTGTCACGTCAAAATTTGTGGACTGTTCAGGACTGTCCTTTTACTTGGGAGAAATTAAACTTTTTTGAATATTTCAAACAACTTAGAATTCTCTTCAATTCAAGCTATTATCTCTTTTCTTATTACCTCTCCTTTTCTATTCTCTAATTTTTGTTTTTTAAATTTGTGACACACTTTATACAGTTGAGAAATTATAAAAATAAATGAACGTATCCGCGTATCGTATTCTTTCGTAGTAAAACAACAAAAGCAACAAAAATGCAACAGAAATGAGTAAAAACAGAACTTCAAGAAGAAGAAAAACAAATGATGGGGAAACAATAAGATGACTACTCATAGACAAATAGTATTTTATTCCAATAGGTACCTGGGTACACCTAATCACAGAAAATATTCAAACTAGATGGACGACAAAGTAGGTTGAAATTATTACAATTGAACTAATTAGGTGATTTCTTTGATATGTCTGTTCTGGCACGATCACAGTAAAATACTTTTTCATGTCTATGAAATGGAATTGTTTTCTGAGGAATACACAGGTTATATATTATTATGTAGTCAGTTATGAAGGTATGTTATTGTTAAAATGATACGTCTAGTATAAACTTTCACGGATGAGGTATCAGTTGGATGTGATCTTTTCTTTTCATGCTTAATGTTTCGTCTACCACTGAGGCAGACATTCACAAAGGCGTTGAGACGAAATAACGTATTCAAAAAACATTTTATTGTGAGATTTTCACTAAACAGTTTCACAAAACAGCAAGACGTGTTTCGCCAATGTATGGTGTTTTATGAAAACGTTAGTTATGGATTTTCATCAAATGTCGGCCAATTCCATCATATATAATGGACGAAATATTCTGATTGTCGCTGAAACAGATACTACGAGTACAAAGCTGATTTTGGGGACCAAAACCAGTTCTGTACTATCTGCTAGCGAAATTTGGTTTCCGGATTCATTCCATTGGTAGTGGGCGTGACTTTTTTCTTATTGGTTGAATTAAATGTCCTCGTACGGAAGCATTTAAGTAAAGGAAGCCAGTTTTTAGTAATAATGATTCTTTCTTCCTACGGGTAGAAATTATTTTTTTCTTCTGAATTTCTGATGCATTCCGATCAAGATAGTAACACTATCTAGGACATGGATCTCTGCAAACGCGATAACTTTTGGGTACCTCTGTGCATATTCCACTACTGCTGATTTGTCAGTATTCTTCAAGTGGAAATTTCTCCAGACCCAAGTCCTCGATAGAACTCAGAGTTACTATATAGGGAGACCCAAACCACTTCTTCATACAGCTCTGCTGACGAGATCAACAAGCCAAGTGCATGTCACCAGATACTTGCAACAGCAGGCAAATAGACTAGAGGGTTGGGCTAACCTCTGGAAAATCATTATAAACCCTGACAAGAGTTAGGGGATACTGTTTACCCGTAGGCTGGTACACCCGGAAGGAAACGTCACATTCAACAGACCTTCAAGAAACTCCGTGAACCAAGGAACCGAAATACCTGTGGTCACTATCGACAGAAAACTAACGTTCAGTACACGCATACGGCAGAGAAAAGGGCTGGCGAGAGCCGCCAGACAAAACCTATATCCAATTATAGGTCGCAAAAGCAACTTGGGACTCCACGTGAAGTTGCTGATGATAAAGATCGTACTACTACCAATAATCCTGTATGCCTGCACTGCATGGTGCAATATCCAGACGTTCATGAACGCGTGAGTGCGATCCGCCATAAACGCTCCACGATATATACAATATATATATATATA